GGGAAATGGTGTTTGCTGTCGTCTGTCTGTGTCCTTGTGGGTGCTGGGTCTGTCTGTCCTCTCAGCTGAACATCTCTCCACTAACTGGAGCAGGTACTGGTGGGAGCTGGCACCAACTCCCTCTTGGAGATGGGCTGTAAGATGGCAGGAGACGGTGATTTTTGGGGAGTGTTTTTGAGGAGCACATTCCTGGCTGGGAAATGGGTTAACAGGGTGTCCCCACAGCCCATGGGGTCTCTGTTCTTCCCACACCCCAGCTCTCACGCCTGCTCCAGCCTCACTCCTGCCAGCTGGGGAGGTCAGCGATGAGATTTGTCACTCTTCAGCAATGCAGAAAATGTCCCTCAGCCTCTCCAGTGACGCCGCGCGGGGAGGAGAGGCTGGGGCGGTGGGACCTGGCCTTCTGCTGGCTCCATTCCTCTGGGCACCCTGCTTGTCCCCTGCTTTGCCAGTCCCCTGCACCCACAGGGTCCCATCCACCTCACCAGGGTGCCTCATTTTTGGGGTGTTTTAGTTGGGATGGGGACCATGCTTGGCCCTGGAGCCAGCCCTGCCTCTTCCCTTTCTGTGACCAAACTTCACACCAAAATTCACCTCCAAATTTTGAATTTGGCCACAGGGATTTGGTCCTGTGCAGCATCCAGGGAAGTGCCTGAAGCTACCAGAGTTCCTCCAGATTTTTAGGATCAAGGTGGTTCCAACAGATTCAGCTTCAGGCAATGCAGAATGCACAAGGGGTGCAGAATGGGGTCCCCACTGTGGCTCCTGTCTCAGAGCCGGCTGGTGATGGCTTCCAGGGGTGGCATTGAAGCTGCTGGTGTTGGGTGCCACTGTGGGCACCTGTGGCTCTCGTGGGTGGGAGGGCACAGTCCTACTGCACATCCCGGGTGCGTGTGGGATTTCCAAATGTCTGTCTCTAATCCTTGGGGGGCTGCTTAGGATTTATATCCGATTAGAAGGACGATTTAAGGGCCCACCAGCTGTTGGATCTGCAGGGGAAAATGTGCCATTTCCAGTCACTACTGAAATATATTTTGACCCCAAAACCAAGGTGTTTGGGTCTGGGATGGGTTTTGCACTTTATGGAGTTGGAGCCTGCTGGAAAGGTCACTTATGCTTCTGAGATGGGGTTTGGACCTTGTGGAGCACCTGGAGCTGTGCCAAGGGCTGATGTTCCTCTGTAGAGGAACTGGGCTGTTGGGATGTGTCCCTGGTTGTCCCTCCTGTCTGGCTGAGCCCAGGGATGGACCCAGAGTTGAGATGGGACCTTCCTCTGTGCTGCCCTGCTCACGCTTCTGTTAAACACATCGTTAATCTCTTGCTTGATGTTCAGGATGGGGCTGGATCTGACCTTCCCGTGGGAAGGGAGGAAGGGAGAGGAGCTCACCATGGATCTCCAGGCAGCAAATTCGGTTGGATTCAGAACCCCACAGCTGCTTCCCGGGCTTGTGTTGGATGATGAGCTTTAATCGACCTTGGCTGACCTTGGGTGCTGCTCTGAGGGTACAACAGGGTTTGTCATTCAGAGTCCCCAAACCCACAGCCGGGCTGTGTTGGGACAGGATCTGTACAGGCTCCATGACAGCTTGTGGGACTAAATACATCGTGGGGAGGACTGTGAGTGGGACCCTCCCCGTGAACATGCTTCCTGTTAAAAATGAAGGGTGTTTTCCCCCCAAACTGTGGTGTTTCAAGGCAAAGTGGGGTTTGTTCACAGCACTCTGATGGAGGATTTGAAGTGCTGTGGTTCCTGTAGCGCTGTGACTTTTTTATTATGATTATTTTTAAAGCCTATTTTTGAATGTAGTAATAATCATCTGCAGTACCAGCGGGGATGGAGAAGCATCCAAACAACCTTGAGGAGGGAACGCTTCCAAATGAAACCTCCACTTCAAAGAAATGGCAAAATGCAGCTCCTTCCTCCCAGAGCAGAATTGCTTTATTTTTTAAATGTCAGCATTTCTCAGAGAACATCAGGGCTGTTCCAGCCCAGACAGAGCTGGGAGCTGCGTTAGTGCCCAGGTGAGACTTTCCTGCAGAAAGTTCTCCAAAGGTGCAAATCTTCCTTGGCAGGAGGGAACAGGATCCAGCAGGTCCCATTCCCGGAGGCCGGGCTTCCCACTCGCAGGCAGCTGGGGCTCCAGCAACCCTCACTGGGGCAGAGTTAGTGCCCCAAGCTTACGGTTAGTTTTATTGCTGTGTTTATTACCTCTTAAATTAACCTCCTGGAGGCTGGTGCCTTTAAATGGCAGGAAAAGGACCTTGAGCAGCCTGTTGATGTTGTGCAAGGTGCCTGTGCTCTTGGCACTTGCCAGGTGCAAGGTGTGTGCCGCGGGGAGGCAGAGATGCAAATTCAGGTTGGGGACCTGGCTTAGGCTCAGCTTGTGGCCCCGCACACACATCTCACCCCCTTGGACGTGCCTCTGTGCTGCTGACCTGCTCTCTCTGCTGGGGATCCTCCTGCAGAGCTGGCTGTGGAGGATGCTCTGCCCCACGCTCCATCTGGGACCAGGAGTGAGGAGCAAACACCCACAAGTTCTCCCACATACCCAGATAAATAACCCAGCGCTGCAGGGACTGGGGAGTGGGAGGACTCCCTGCTGAAGGCTAATGGCCGGATGTCCCAAGAGCTGTAATAGTTATTAATATTTTCAGCTAATAAATGGCCCATGACACTAGAGTTATTAATTAATGAGTTGGAGTGCCAAGACTTGGCCCATGACGAGTTAATAGCTAACACCCACTGGGTAGCTAAACGTAAGATGGGAACCTGGCTGTGGATCGCTTGTGGGAATGATGCTGGTGTCACTGGTCAGCTTCTGCCTGGACCTGGGTGATCCTGGGGGTTGTTCACCTGCTTTCTCAAAAGAGCTGCTTCCAAATGGGACTTTATTTCTCTGCAAACGCTGTGGGAAAGGGATCCCTCTGGCCACAGTGATGTTCTCATATTGAGCTAATCTGTGTCTAGTCCTAATTGCCCACTGTGTAATCTGCTTCCTGGGAGTTTTGGGTGCTGATATGTCCTTGCAGAGGTGTCTGGGACCCACCGTGCTGCAGGGCTGGCCCCAGGCACCGCTCATGGTGGTGGTGCAGTGCTGGGAATGGCATGGGGGCTGCCATTGACTCATTCCTGGGTGTGTCTCCACGATGGGCAGGATCAACGGGGACCAGGATGGGGGCAGAGCAAGCCCCAGGGCAGACCCAGCCCTGTGGGGAGTGAAGCTCCCCAATGCAGATGGGGTACCTTGTCCTTGCCAGGCTGCTGTGTCTGTAGAGCTCAGCCCTAGGCTGGGTGGGAACTTGAACTTTGGAGCACCTGGGTGTGCAGAGGGGCTGGCCAAGGCGCCCTCCTGCCCCTGGGCAAATGGCATTGCCAGGGGATTACTCACAGGGCAATGTGCTACACCAGGATCTTGGAAATCACAGAGGAGCTGAGGGTGAGGTGTTTCTGAAGGACTGACAGCCTGGATTGCACAGGCTCCCTGTGGAGATGCATCCCAGAGAGTTGGTGGGCTCGGATCCTCCTGGGGAGCATCCCCTGTGTGAGCCCCCAAGCCCTGTCCTCCTCCCAGCAGAGTCTGCTGGGGACAAGGCTGCCTGTGTCACTGTCCCTCTGTAGGATTTGCTGTTCTGGGAGCAGGGATTTCTTGTTGGCCATCGGTAATTAATTTGCTTTCATGCTTGTGAGTGAGTGATGGGAATTAACACCCCTCTGCCCTCCAAGGGGAGAGTGAGGATGGGTGGGGAGGTCAAGATGAGATTGACTTTCCTGGTGTCCCCTCTCTCGCTGCCAAGTCCCACTAGAGGCCCCTTGTTGACTTCAGTGGATTTTGGATCAAGCCCTCGAACATTAATAATAATGACTCATAAATCATTGCTTGCACCACCTGTTTGTCATGTTTCCGCCCACAATAACTATATCAAGTGGTTTTTATAAGCTGTGCTGGCACGGGTTGTTTGTCACATCTGGACAGCATCGTGGGAGTGCGGATCTGGCCAAGCCGCAGTGTGTGGTTTTTCCTGGCTGGCGGGAGGAAAAGCCACATAAATTCCTTCTGCACGGGGTTGAGTGTTCTCCAGGGATGGCACGTTGGGTCTGGATGGGTTCTGGGAGTGAGTTTGCAGTGGGAGGGCTTGGGCATGGTGTGAGCAGCAGAAAAAGGCTCTCAGGTATCCCAAAGGTGTAGGGATGGTGCATCAGGGCTTCATCTGTTGAAGTGTTGGAAGATCAGGGTTGCAGCTCCCTGGTTATCCTCCAAATTGCTCTGGAGGTGTCACCCATCCCGTGGTCTTTCATGTTGAAAGTTAACAGATGCCTTCTCGGGCAGTGGGGCTGGGTGCAGGGGCTGCCTCCCCATTTTCTGCCTTTCCTTGCAGCCCAAGCCTGAGAATGCCATCACCATCGCCGTGTCATCGCGGGCGCTGTTCCGCATGGAGGAGGAGCAGAAGATTTACAATGAGCAAGGGGTGGAAGCCTATGTGAAATATCAGCTGGACCATGAGAATGAGCCCTTCCTCCCTGGGGCTGCCTTCCCCTTCGTCAAGGTGAGCATCCACCCACCTGAGCTGAATCCACACTGCAGTCCTGACCCAAAGGTTTTGGGGAGAGGGGAGCGCTCTGGGGTGCTTCCAGGGGGAAGGGATAGGGAATGAGTGGGGTGGCAGAAGGGATGTAGCCACAGAGCAAACAGAGGTCAAATAAACTTCCTGGCAAGTGATGAGCTTCTTCCAGGACTGAGGAAATGTTGGATTTTCCAAATTGTCAGCTGAGCCCAAGAATTGAAGAAATCGCATCTTTGGATCCTATTTAAAGTTTCCCTTTAGGGAATTCTCATATCTTTTTAATTATTATTATTATTTTTATTATTATTGCAATTTATTTATTCATTTCAATTGGCTGAATTTAGCCTTGCTACAGAGTCAGCCAATTTCTGATTTTGACGTGTTGAAACGAGGCATTTCAAACTCTAGAAATATTTTCCAATTTTTGCCCCAGTTCCACTGGATTTAGTGCAGTTGTGTGTGCTGGCCCTCCCTGAAGCAATCTCTTGCCTGTTCCCAATGAATAAACTAATCCACTTGATGAGGAGAGACTGGTTCTGTTTCTGATTGCTTGAAAAAACACTTCTCTCTAACTTGGAGCTCAAAAACTTGAGATTTATTCTCATCTCCTAATGAGAACTTGAAACCTTTTGTGTTGGAAAATAGAAGAGTAGCCATGTGGGTTTTTTTTCCCCCAAATCAGTCTTTTTTTTTTCTTCCCCCTCTTGCTGATGTCACCTTGGCTCAGGGTGTAGTTGGGGTTGGGCCAGATCTGTAGTTTTGGTGAGCAGAAGTGTTTTGCTCGGTGAGAAGGGGGTTGGGGGCCATGTCTGGGGCTCACTGACACCCACCTTTCCTCACCCTGGGGTGCTGCAGGCGTTGGAAGCAGTGAACACCCAACTGCGTGAGCTCTACCCCGACAGCGAGGAGCTCTTCGACATCGTCCTTATGACCAACAACCATGCCCAGGTTGGGGTTCGCTTGATCAACAGCATCAATCACTATGGTGAGCTGAGAGCAAAGCTTTGTGTGGGTGCTGATGGCTTTTGGGCAGTGCTATTTCTTGGCAGCGAGATATGGAGATGCTTTCTCCTGTCTTTTCTTCCAAACCACACCCTGAGCCCACTTCTCCCAATTTTCATGGGCTTTGAGTGGAAGTTGGCTGGTGGTGAGGATGCTCTGGCTGCCGGCTGTGCCGTTGAATGGTGATACCAAAATTAGCCCCCATCCTGCCGACTCTTGGGAGGCCCCAGGGGAGCAGCGTCAAGGCTTGTTTGGGGGACAGTCAGGCTCACCCCGGGGTCTGTCTGCCCTCAGATCTGTTCATCGAGAGGTTCTGCATGACAGGAGGGAACAGCCCCATCTGTTACCTCAAGGCCTATCACACCAACCTCTACCTCTCCTCAGACGCCGAGAAAGTGAGTGGGGCCATTGAAGAGGGTGAGTCTGGGGTCCAGCTTGTGGGGGGACAGCGGGGGGAGCCTGGAGCCCTCAGGGGGTTGGTGCCAGGAGCAATAGCTCCAATGTCCCTGTCCCTACATTAATGTGCAGCTATGGTTTCCCTTGTCCTACATCCCATCCTTGATGCTCCAAAGAGCCTCTAGTTTCCATAGAAATAAGACTTTCCTTGAGCTCTACAGCTCTTCCAAGGCAAAGGCACTGTTCTACCCTGTTAATTCTTGTATGCAAAGGGAGGTTTGTCATCTGGGGATTTGTTTTTGCTGTAAAAGTTCTTGGGGCTAAGCTGCAGGCACCACTGGGTGTGTGCAATTCCTTGCAGTGTTTACTTCCAGCCCAGTGTGTTTTGCTCTGCTCCTCAATGGAGAAGGCACGAGGCTGGGTCCTTGGGTAACTGCCACCTCTTGCCTCATGCTTTACCTCCACAGGGATCGCTGCAGCCACTATCTTCAGCCCCAGCAAAGACCTGGAGGTGTCGGAGAACCAGCTGCGAGTAGCATTTGATGGTGATGCCGTGCTCTTCTCTGATGAGTCGGAGCAGATCGTGAAGGCTCACGGCTTGGACATGTTCTTTGAGCATGAAAAGGCTCACGAGAACAAGCCTCTGGCACAGGTAGTGCTGGGGTGCAGCCAGAAAAAGCCTCTGGGAGAGAGACAGCCCACAGGGATGCTCTCGCCTCTGGGAATGAGTCAGGGGTCAGCGTGTGGGGGTTGGACTAGGTGACCTTTAAGGGTCTCTTCCAACCCAATACATTCTGTGATTCTCTGTGGAGTGTGAGATAGGGTGGGTCAGCAGCCTGGTTCTGCTGGCCCACAGGATGGCTGTGGCTGGCCTCTCGCTGTCGTTTCTGGGGGCTCACAGAAGAGAAGGGGTTAGGGAGCACGTCTGGCTCTGCTGGGACTGGGTTCCCGGAGGAAGGGATAGCGTGGGGGTCTGCAAAGTGATGGTTTCTTGCTTTGGCAGGGACCCCTGAAGGGCTTCCTGGAGGCCCTGGGGAAGCTGCAGAAGAAGTTCTATTCCAAAGGGCTGAGGCTGGAGTGTCCCATTCGTACCTACCTGGTCACTGCCAGGAGCGCGGCCAGCTCAGGAGCCCGGGCCCTAAAGACTCTGCGCAGCTGGGGCCTGGAGACGGATGAAGCTTTGTTCTTGGCCGGGGCTCCCAAGGGGCCGCTGCTGAAGAAGATCCGTCCTCACATCTTCTTCGATGACCAGATGTTCCACGTGGAGGGAGCCAAGGAGATGGGCACTGTGGCTGCCCACGTCCCTTACGGCATCGCCCAGAAACACAAGCGGCCGGCGCAGGAGAAGCAAACCCCGAACAGCAAGTAGTGGAGCTGGCTGGTCCTGCGGTCCCCGGCGTGTGGCACAGACTTCACCCCGTGCACCATGCTCTGACCTGGGTTGTGCTGGTCTGCAAGGGAGAGAGTGTTTGCCCTGTGAGGTTATTCCCCAGCAGGAGCCTTGTCGGGGGGCAGGGATGGAGGAGGGGGCTGATGAAAGGCTTTGTTTTCACCTCTGTATTCATTGCGATGTCGTGGTGTTGTCCCCGTTCCTCCTCGTGGGGCTGGAGGATCTCCTGTGCTGGGCAGCCCCACCAGCCCTTTCCCCCCTGTTCCTCCTCGTGCCTCTGCGCTTGCTTCAGGCAAAATCCTCAAGCAAAATCCCTCGAGGATGGATCTCATCTTTTGTGGACTGTTGTGCCAGGCAGGTTTAACTTATTGGTGTTTCTTTAAAACCCCAGGTAATTCCCAAAGCCTTTGATTTACAAAGCAAATGTTCAGGCTGAACTGTTGAACTGGAAAGTTGGGAGCACACACAAAAACCTTTCTTGTAGCTTTGAAACCAAATGTTGTCCCTTTTAACTAAACTTAAACCATAATATTGTTCCTTCACAGACCAGCCCCTTGCTCCCCAACCAGAAAATCTTTCATGTCATTGTCCTTTCACCAACCTTTTGTCAGCTGAACAGCTTTCCTTTCATGGACTAAAATTTGGAAAAAAATAGAGACAAACACTTTTATGTATGTATTTAAGAAAAAAAGAAATCCTGTTTCCTGCCTGGAGCTTTGGGCCAGTGTATTGTTGGCCCAGGTTTTTAAATTTGGGTTTCACAGTTGCATGAGTTAGCACTTAAAAATAATAATCTCAGTGAAGTAACCAAAGCCCAGCTCTTGTGTGAGCCGTCCAGGGTCCGCAGACACATGCCTAGGGCTGGAATTAAGTTAAAAGCAAAGCCCTAATATATTAGGGACATCATTTGAAGTCCATTTAGGTAAATCTGCAGAGAATTTCAGCCTAGGGGTTTTAATTAAAGGATATTTCCACCCCCCTTTTCAGGCTGAGCCCATATGACTTGATAATCTTTTTTTTGCTCAGCTTCTTAAAACCTCTGGTGTTTCCTAAAATAGACACCTCTGCTAGTGATGCTGTGAGAGAACCAAATCTCTGATTATAAAAACAGGAAGAGAAATCAATTGGAGAGCTGCTCAGAAATCAGTGTGAAAATCACCCTGATGTTTCTGCACAAAGCCCTGTCCCAAAGGACAATCTCAGGAGAAAAAAATTCAAGACTACTTGTTTTTCTTGTTTTTTTGGGGGGTTTATTTTAGGCAGCACACCCCATGGCTGGGCATGAAGGATGCCCAGTGTTATCAGATAGTAGTTTTCTACAAGAACCAACTCCATGGGCTGAAGTTTTCTGAGGTCTGTGTCTGTCTCTGACTCGAATTTGCAGGGAAGTTTCAGCTCAAACAGCTCAGCCCTTCCTGATGTCGAGACGAGAGCTCGAGTTATCGCACTTTTGATGAATATATAAACAAGCTGTGATGCCTTCAGTGGCTCGGGAGACTGTTTTCTCATTGCACTAAATCCTGCTCAAGCAGTGAAAAGCAAATTGCACTTTCCACCCTCTCCCCCGAACTATTTCACTTTGACAGACTCTTATTTATCACATCTGGGTGACGAGCACCTTAGAGGAAGGTCTGAAATCCAAACAAACAAAAAGTCTTGAAAGAAACTAGTATCTTGGTAACACGTCTATTAATAGACAGGTTTATAAAAAGGTCTCATCTTTTTAATGTGAATCGCAGATATTGGGATCTGAACTGTATCTCGGAGACCTTTTTGGCAGCTGGGATAGGGAGAACAGCCTGGCCTCCCAGTAAACATTTCCAAGGTGTTTCCTGAAGATCGCATCATGAAAGCCCAGCCAAGCCCAGATTGCAAATGGGCTGTGCTGGGGCCTCCTGCCAGCCCGGGAGGTGACATTGCAAGAGGAACAGGGTTGTCAGCAAACCCTTAGGAACCAGGGCAGGGTGCTGGTGGGATTGGATTCAAGGTGCAAGCACAGATGGGTGCTGGCAGAGCTGGGCTGTGCAGGAGGATGTGCCCTGTCTGCAGGTGCTGGTAGCTCCAGGGAAGCAATGTGTTGTGGTTTTTGGGGCAGAGCCCTGGATCTCAGCAGCTTTCACTGCTGCCTTTTCAGGTACTGAGATGCACAGGGAGCTGGGTGCAAGCTGAGGAACAGGGGCACAGTGCTGGCAGGAGTTTTAGTGACTCTGCTTGGGGTCCTCCTGCTGCCAGAGCAGCTTAGGGGCTTGCTGGGAGACCTGGGGCTCAGGAAATGGGCCCCAAGTGAGGCAGACCTCCCTTTGCTCCTCCTGAGTCGTCCCTGTGTGGGGAGGATTTTCTGTTCCTGCAATTTCCCTTTTGCTTTTATCCACACGGCTTCCTATGTTTTGTTTCTTTTTTCTCCTCCATCACTGCAACTGGTGGATGTGGATTTGCTGCTTGTGTTTTTCCCCCCTGTGCCCATCCATGACATCGCCTTGGGTTGGGGGAACAACGTGGTCCCCAGGACCAGCTGCATGGGCTGGGTACATCTCCCACCTTGATGGTCCAGTGTGGTTGTGCATCTTGTGCTGCGCTGGCTGATGACTGGACTTGCCCGCTGTGTGTTGTTGCTGTGGGTTTCACTTCATTGTCCTCCAGCGGTTTTTCTTGTGAATGGACTGTTCATGTTAATGAAATCCCTCTGGGTGTTTTTCTGTAATAAACTGTGTTGGTCCCAGCCCGACTCGCTCTGTTGCCATTCTCACAACGGGTATTTTGGCTCCGTGGTGCAGCTAGGAAGACAGTCTGGGGTCCTTGCTTGGGACCTCCAAGGTTTTATAGTGAAGGAGTTGGGGGTGATGAGAAGGAAAAGGGTCTCTTGGGATTTAAGGGAATTCAGAAAATGTAATAAAAGCAGCTACCTGTGAACTGGACACCTCTGGGAGAAGTGGGATTCCAGAGTTGAGAGATGTGCTGTGATACATCTACCTCCCTCTGCTTCGTGAACAGGCTTTTATTGTAACCTGGACTCGTGATGAAGTCCTGGATAAAAATACAATTTGGCAGAAGACTTTTGTCAGCTTGATCTTCTCCCAGCCAACAGGTGGGAGGCAGCAAAAGCTTTTTAGAGGAGATTTATTGCTGCTGAAGTACCGGGTTTATCCGAATAGCGACACTGCAGTTCTGGTGTTTGCTCCTCCCTGCCAATAAGGAGAACAGATGGGTTAAGGGGAAGCAACAAATTCTCCATCCGTCACCAAATATAGCCAAGGAATTTCCATAGGCCCCAGGGCAGCATCTCTGCTATGGGTGTTCACTTAAGGGACGGATGGTCCTCAGGAGAGAGTGTTCTTGTGCAGCCTTGCTGGCTGGAATGCCTTTCCCAAGCCCATCCCCAATCCTGCATGTTCTTCCACCAGATGCCTGGAGGAAAAAAAAATAAATAATCAAATTCCAGCACTGATAAGGCCCTTGTTGCACCAGTGAAAGTCCAGGTGGGCCCACCCAGTCCTGAGAGGTCAGGATGTCTATGCCAAAGCCAAGAGTTGCCTCTGATGTTCATGCAAAGACCATCAGGAGCCTTTGACTCGCTCTTGGGGACCAGCGGTGGCACTGGGGCCAAGGAGCCAATGGGTCACGGAGAGACATGCAGGGAGGGAAGGGGGAGGTTTGTGCAGTTGGGTCTGTGATGTCTTCTTGTTGGTTTGCTGCAAGCCTGAGTTTTTTGTTTCTGTTTCCTGTTTTCTGAGCTTTTTCCTACATCAGGCATCAAAGGGCTTTGCAATGAGTGTGCTTTAAAATGAAGAACATGGAGGAGGAGAAAGCGGAGGCAGAGCTGATGGAGAATTATGCTGCCACTCAGCTATTGTCAGCGCAGATGTTCACGAGGTAATCACGGCCTTTGAATAGCAAGAACTGCTTTTCATAATGAATCCTGACTCCAAGAACTTGTGGGACTTCTTGGTGAGGGTGTGACACCCCTGATGACCAGCTGCATGGCAGGGAGGTTGGGCAGAGTGTGGACTCTGCTCTTCTGGTCCACATGTACACAGGTAAGTCATGACACCACCCTGCCTCAGTTTCCCCATCACTGTAACAGAGATCACAATAATCCAGAGGTAATACCAGGTCTGGAGGATGACTCCAGCTCCTTGCAGAAGAAAAACAGAAATACAGGAGTGGTCTTAAGTGTGGTGAAACCCCATATCTTTGCGGTGATGCCTGCAGGCACAGCAGCAGGTCCTGGCATGTAGGGGCCGTGCAAACACAGGACTGTCCCGTGGTGTTGGCTGTGAGGTGTCCCAGGCTGTGCTGGTGGGGACTCCACCTCGTTCCTGCAACGCATTTAGTTTTACATCCTTTCTGAAGTGCAGAATAGGGGCCAACAAATGTGAGCAGGGACCTGCAGCCATCCCAGAATGCTAAAATGTCAGGGCAGGGGACCTGGTGACAGGGTGACAGAAACACCCAGAGCTGGAAGAATAGATAAGAGGACCTGGCGGCAGGAGAACAAGCAAAGGGCACTTGCTATCAGCGTTAGCGGGGCCGTGCCAGGATTTGAACAGCCTGACCATCTCGTTCCTTCCACACCACTATTTATAGCAGCGTTTGCTGATGCCTCTGTCACTGGAACCTAAAATGGTTCCCCTGTGTGCACCCGGGGTGGCTGGGCTCTGCTGTCCCGTGCTGGGGAGGCCACCAACGAAGCAGTGACTCAACGGAGCGTGTGTGAAGCTGCTCATCGCCCCGCTGATGGAGGAAGCCGGCGTGTCCCTCTGCCAAGAAGCAGTTCCACGCTGGGCCAGCTCCTTGGAAGATGCACCAGACGGTTTCTGTTTAAGGTCTGGCCCTTCTCCAGGAAGAGTCAGTGGGGTAGATGGACCCACCTTCCACTCTGCTTCTTCTTTCCCCCCCAGAACTGGGGCTTGTCTGGGTCTGTTTGGGAGCCAGCGGTTTCCACACCTGGAAGTTGGTCCTTCAGGTAGCTGTAGGGATCTATCTGTGCATTGCCCAGGCT